AGGGAATCGGCCCTCAGCTCCAGCGGGGGGATGGATACCAGCTGCAACTCTCGCCTCGTAGGGGAGGAAGCTGAAGCAGGGCTTTAAGCCTCTTCTGAGTTTGCATTTACCTTGGGCTAAAAGATTACGTGGATCTGTGAATATGAAATCTGTCTAAAATTCATAGGCACTATGTATTTGTGGCTGCATTCATGTTCAGGACTGAGTTACTAGAAAAAGTAAAGAAGAAAAGACAACTCTCTGTCCATTACTTCACATTGCCCTTTTCAGAATAATAGTTCCAGTCACAAAGACCAAGCGTTCTCATCTAGCTTGCTACCTCACAACTTCATGGACAACACCACTAACCTATTCCCTCATAAAGTATCTCCCATACATAGGCTTATGTCAACTGTCACCTCTACCTATAACAAGCCAATCTAAAAATGAATCTAGACTTTTTTTTTTTTTTTAAATAGCACACGAACTTTCTTGTCAGGTTGCAACACTGGAAGGTGCGTGTGAAGTGCAGTGGCTGTGAATCGATGCATAGGGAGATGGTTCTTGTTCTCACTGCAGCCTCGGTTGTTGCCCAGATTATGCTTGTTCGGTGGAAGCAAAGACACTGCCGATTGTACGGTGTGAACAGCTTGTCAGACAGACAGCAGTTCTGGAGCTGTAGTGGTTAAGACATCGTCTTTCTTGGGTAACAGTTGGAAGTCAGGACATACTCTTAGGGGTTTACATCTAGCAAGAAAAGTGAGCCTCTGTGCAAAGCAGCAAGCCACGGCTTTTGGATAATAGCTTTTATGAAGGAAGAAAAAACAACTTGTATTTTATTTTACTGTATATGCGTACCAATGCTGCGGTCAGCCATTAGTAGGTTAAAGCTTTTCAGGAAAAGGCTTTGAGTTTTCAAACAACTGTCTAACAATGGACTAGGTAGGAGAACAAGGTCACGACCCTTATCTAGCTGAAGTAATGCTACAGAGGGTTTGCTGAGACAGTCCAAGGCCCCTATTCATCAAGTTACTCAGGCACATGCCTAATGGGAGAGAAAGCTTTCTTGTGGTTAAGGTGCTAAAACTGGGGCTTACGGTGCGCCAGCTCCCTTCCTTTCCCTCGCACGGAAC